TGTGGGGGCGCGGGAGGCCCCTTGCCTGCTCCCCTAGCCAAGGGGCTTGGACTGGTTCAGAGGGGGTGAAGGCAGCAGATACCCGCCCTGCTCCCAGCCTGGGGCCGTCTGCTGCTTCTGCCTGTGTTGGGCAGTGCTGTCCTGTGCTAGCATTTGGTGACACCGGTCTTGCCACTCACCATCGCTGTCGGAGTTGACTGTGAGGCCGCAGCAGAAGTCCTTCTTTCTTGTAAAACTGACCTGCTCCCTTACCCCTCTCTCACAGCGCAGGAGATGGCAGCCCCCAGTTGTTCTCGCTTGGTGAGCGTGAGCGCGCTCGGTCCCTCTGCCTGTCTCCACTCCTCTTCTCTTTGCAGAGCCAGTTCTTCAAGACCTTGCCCAGGGCCTGCACCACACAGGGAGCAGCACTGAATGGGATGCAGTTTTACTCCGGCCTGCAGGCAGAGGATGGGCACTGGGCTGGTGACTACGGGGGGCCCCTCTTCCTCCTGCCAGGTACCAGGAGTGAGAAGGTGGCTCCAGGTGCTCTGTCCAGAGAGCCCCTCCTGACGAGGGTGCTTGGGGGCGATGCTGCCTTGCTGGCTCTCTGAGGGTTGTTCAGGATCAGGCTGTATCCCAGCCTACAAAGGCAGTGCAGATTCTTGCATTTCTTAGTGTGCCAGACACTGCTTTGTATTGTTAGAGTTCGTTGTTCCCCAGACAGGTGATGGGTGACCCTCCCATATTTGCACTGTCTCAGGACCGTTTTGGTTAACAGTAAGCTGGTGTCTGTTGTGAGGCACTGAGGACTGTATTCAGCCAGTTAGGTCACTTTTGGTTTGATGTGTGGGGCGCGATAGAGCTCTGTCCCCGAAAGCTTACTTCCGTTTGAAAAGTGGGGAGTTGGGTTCGGGTGGGGTATGAATTAAAATGCAATGTGAGTTATTTTGCAGTTGCTCAGTGAGAGAATGTTCTCCGAACCAGAGCATTTCTGATGTTCAAAACTGGGTCTTGCTTGTTTGAAAGGAGGAATGCTCTCACTCAACAGGTCTCTTGATCACCTGCCATGTTGCCAAGATCCCACTGCCAGAGGGTTACAAGGAGGAGATGGTGCGCTACCTGCGCTCGGTGCAACTCCCAGACGGAGGATGGGGATTGTGAGTAGCAGAAAAGCTTCTTTTCTTGATGCCTTGGCTGGGTCCTTACGTGCACTGGAGGGAGGAAGAGGAGGGAACAGGAACAAAAGGAAGGTGACCTGGGTCTGTCTGCACGTGTCCACGTCATGCAGATTTACACAATTTAGCAAGAATTTTCCAACCCAGTTTCCAGCCTGTTGAATAGAATTGTTGCAATCTCATGGGAGCCCAAGCTGGGCCTTGCAACATGGGAAGTGAATTTGGGAAGAAAACCAAATCCAGTGTCATGTGCCAAATCCATCTCATTGTCCTTCCATCAACATCTTACTCCTAGCCAGCACCACACACTGAAACAAATTGATGAGGCTTTCTGGGCCATCCCACGTGCCACAACCCTGAAATTTCCATCCTCAGCAGGGCCGCCACTCAGTTCTTTAAAGACCCTGTGTGTTATCCAAGCCTGTCCTGCTCTTCCTTTGCTTGTTGTGGGTGTCCTGCTGGCTTAGTGTTGTGTTGAGCAGGAGTGGGCCTTGGTGCTGCAGTACTCTGGCGCCCGGCAGGAACCAGAGATGTCTGTCATCACTGGGACATCAGTAGGGACCTTCCAAGTGAAGGCCTTGAAGGTGTTACCCCACACTTTAGGGCAGCAGAAACCAGGGAGGTTGCCTGTTGGGTTTATTTGCCCTGCTTTGCTCAGGTCACCTCAGTCAACCTCCTGCTTCAGATTCATTCTAGTAGAAAACAAACAAGATGCTTAAGCCAAGTACTTGGACCTCCATCCCTGGCCTGTCTCCTCTCTGTGTGTGTGTGTGTGTGTGTGTGTGTAACAGGCATGTGGAAGATAAATCAACAGTGTTTGGCACAGCGCTCAATTACACCTCTCTGAGGATCCTGGGAGTTGGGCCAGATGACCCTGACCTTGTGCGGGCTCGGATCAACCTCCACAGCAAAGGTAGGCACTTGCCTATGTACACTATCACCCGTCCTATGCGGTAAATGTGGTGGGAAGGTGTTTTGAGAGGTGATTTTCTGTCTTTATGACTCCTGCACCTTACAATGACAGTGATCCCTGGGTTCATTCCTTTGCTGCTTGCTAAGTTTGCCACATCAGAGGTGCAGTTTTCAGGAGCTTGCAAATACCCACTGAACTTAGAGCAGTCCAGTCCATTTCCCAGCTGTAGTCTTGCTGTGAGTTGGTTGTATCTTAAGCCACGAGCAGTTCCGTCTTGGGTCCATCTGTTAAAAGTTCATAGTCACCTGGCTCAGCTTTATGGAGTGGCTTGGTGGCCTCACCTGCCAGCTGGCTTCTGGCCAGGTAAATGTGCCTTTTCCCGGGTGACCCTTCTGCATGGCTGTTTCTGTCATGTTCCCGCAGGCCTGAACCATAGCTCTGCAGTGCCTCTGGCCTGCCACAAGCACCTGGGTGGAAGATTTCCACCTCCCCACCTTCTTTGCAGTGCCACCTGCATTCAGAGAAAGGTAGAAACACTGCCAGCCCCTCCCCAGGTCTCCTGTCCCAATCCCTTACTGAGGGATTCAGGGGCCTCTGTTAACTCTGCTGTAGCTAAAATTAGTTAGAAATCCCTGTGTCCCTGTCTCCTGGGCCCTATGGTTATAGATAAAGGTTACCAAAGTTGACACCCTGTCTCCGGCCAAGTCCCTACCCCTGACCCTGACGGTACTGACACCTTATTCAGTAGGGCTGACTTTGATGTCTGTCTTTCCAGGTGGTGCTGTGGGAATCCCTTCCTGGGGGAAGTTTTGGCTGGCTGTCTTGAATGTTTACAGCTGGGAGGGAATGAACACGCTATTTCCTGAGATGTGGTACGTGCTGTTCTTCAGGGTGGAGCTAGTATTGGGTTTAGATTCCCAGCTACAGCTTGCCCCCTTCCAACAGCACACAGCTGAGAGATTTGCAGCCCCATGCTTTCTCTGTGCCCCCATCCCTTCTCCCTTACCCAAGTCAGCTGAGGACCTAAGGAGTATGCCTCTGCATGAAGGAAAATACTCCTGCCTGCTGGGAAAAGCCAGCCATTACCCAGTCAGTGTTCCACTGCTCCCCTGTTCTCTGAATGAAAGTTAGCTATGTCAGAGGTGGATCTATCTTTGTCTTAGCAACAGGAAATTCCAGCAAAGGAGCCCTCTGTGATGGTGTAGGGAAGCAGGAGAGGTGCTTTGCTTCAGCTTCCAGCATTCTCCTTTCCACAGCACTTGTAACCCAGGCAGACACTGAGCATCTCGGCCCCTCATAACGCTCCATCCGTGATCTGAAGGGCTTGCCCCACATTTGACTCCCTGCCTCCCTGTCCCTGGGTGTATCCATGTTCCCTGAGCTTTGCCCATCCTGTTCACTCCTTCCCCTTCCCCCTCACACTCATGACAGCTCCATTTCTCTTGTGTGACAGGCTGCTCCCTGCTTGGTTCCCGGCACATCCTTCCACACTGTGGTGTCACTGCCGCCAGGTTTACCTTCCAATGAGCTACTGTTATGCTTCCCGACTGACTGCTGAAGAGGATGAGCTGGTGCAGAGCCTCCGACAGGTGAATTACTCTCCCCAGGGGCATGGTGGTGCTCAGCTTCTCAGAGCTACTGCCTTTCCCTCTGAGTTTTCTTTTCCTTCCCCTGCCATTGTTTATGCTTCTCTCTGTTGACATCCCTTGTGCTGGATTTCCACTCGGTGGGCAGTTGCATTCTGCGTAGAATAAGCCACATGGCATTTTCTGCCTCACCTTTCACTTAGGGCTGAGGCATGTAGTGTCTGTGATTTGTCCCTTGGCGTGTTCATGTGACATATTGATTCTGAGTGCGATCCAGGCTTTCACTCAACATGAAGAAGGCTCTCGCCCTTACAGAGGCAGTAGTAACTTTTTCCAGGGTGTGCTGTGTTGTGCCAGTGCTGTGCTGTTGGACTGTTAGCACAGAACTTAACCTAAAGGTATTGAGTCCCCAAAGGGCCTGACCTATATGTTGCAGGTCAGAGGATTTCACCCAGTTCCTCCTTTATGGAGGTCAAGGACTTGCATTTGGGTAAAGCATGTGTCCTCCATGAAGACATCCAAACTTGACTTGGAGACCTCAGCAGATAGAGACTCCACAACTTCCCTTGGTAGTATGTTTCAGCGGCTTTTCTCTCAGTTAAAACTTTGCTGTATGTCCCCTTTGGATTTTTTTGGCTTCAGCTTCCAATCATTGGTTTTTTGTTTTGCCTGTCTCCAGTAGAAGTAATGGCATACCAGGATAGAGCAGTGATCTGATTTTTGTTTATGATAAGATGAAACAGGAATTCCTCTGCCCTCCATGGCTATTGTGGATGCAGACATTGTCAGGCACTTTTCAGACAGCAGGAGGAGTTGGGAGTTAATCCTTTTGGAACAAGAATTGGAGGAGGCTTTTGGGAAGGGGACAGGGTGGTGGGTGAGAGTTAAGAGGGTGACAAAAAAGGAAGCAAAGTACAGGGATGCCTGGGATTTTAAAGCAGTCAGGCTCTCCCAGCAGACGTTCATAAGACACTGAACGTATAATCATTGGGCATACCCAAGGCCTGTGTTTCTCAAAGGATGAGTAATAGTGGGGCCCAGGTTGTGATTCTGGAAAGAGAGAGAGATCTGATGTGGGAGAGTGCTGAGCCTTGTCCTCTGTGAACCAGACCTGGCTTTGTGGAACAGGCCCCTTGTTAGTCTGCTTCAGAGAGCTGCTGTGAATGCAGGGGTGTGGCGAGCTGCAGTTATGCCATGATCCAGAAGGATATGCCATTCGACTGAATGGGTTTTCCTGGTTGCTGAAGCTGGAGTGGCTTTTCCATGGCCCTTGTTTCTGGGGCTGAAATGGACTGATTAGGACCCCAGGTCCTACTTTTTATTTTTTGCAGGGGGTTCTTTTCCTGCCAGCTTCTCTCTCTTAGCCTTTTGTCTCCTTTTTCTCCTGAAGTGGTACTAGATGTAGCTTCCACAAGGCCACACATGGAGACCTGCAGTGCAGAAGTGGTTGAACACCGCAGTTCTGTACTAGTAATCTGAGCCTCAGTGTGGGAATTAGTTGTCTTTCCCCAGTTGCTAATGAAACCACTAAGCTCTGTAGGGATAAATGCATCCATCTCTCTCTCAGGTTTCTTTCTCCTTATTCTGCCCTGGTTGCAGGCAAGCTCATCTCCTGCATTTTTTCCCTGCTAGGAGCTGTATATCCAGGACTACTCCAGCATTGACTGGCCGGCCCAGAGGAACAATGTGGCTGCCTGTGATCTGTATACCCCACACAGCTGGCTGCTGACAGTTGCCTATGGTGAGTGATGTGCTGGCTCGGTTGGGTCACTAGCACCGTGTTGTCTGCAGTACCTGCAAGTGAGCTGATGTCGGAACTAAGACCTTCCTCATAGCCTTGAGTCAGATGAGAATACTGGCCCATGCTTCCTACCCTGGCCTTATGCACTGATGTGCTGCTGGGTTCCACCCAGTGGGAAAAGCCTGGACCTGTGGAGGGTAGGAGTGTGCCTAGGAAAGCTGTGTTTGGTGTCTGCCATGCAGTGTTGCTGCAGATGTCAGCATGAGACCTGTAGGTGGCTGAGTTGTCAGGCCAGGTGAGTGTAGCACCCACCATGTATCAGTGCTCAAGTGTGTGCAGAACATAGAAATGGCTCTGGGATCTTAGTTGGCAGCTCTGGTTCGTCCCCTTTAACTTTGCTCATGCTGCCTCTGCTTGTCTAGGGCTGAGCAGCCACCAAATAAGAGAGAGAGGTTTAATTCTGGAGGTGCAGCACTGGGCTGGGCCCTGGCCGTTCTGTGGGCTCTTCTCCTTGGGAAGCTGGCTGGGATCCTGGCCCTGCCTACACAGACCTTCCCTCTTAGGCTATCCAGGGCTGCTTGGGTCCTAGAGATACAGGAGCTGGGACTATATAGCTGGAGAGAGTTCCCTTGTGCATGTTTCTTGTTCTTGGCCCAGCCATACTGAACTTGTATGAAGCCCACCACAGCTATCGCCTGCGCCAACGAGCCATAGATAAGCTGTATGACCACATCAAGGCTGATGACCGGTTCACCAAAGCTATCAGCATTGGCCCGGTAAGTGGTTCTTTTACCTCCCCACATGAATGAAGGCAGCACCAGTTCCTGTGCACTGCTGAAGAATTGGGCCTGTGCCCCTCCCTCTGCATGGACACTGCCCTCATAGATTCCCTGCCTCTTGTATATGGGCTGTCCTCATTGCCTATGGCACTAGAGTAGCAGGCATCTCTGTCAGAGTCGGGGCCCTGTTGTGCTGCATGTGGTAATATTCACTCAAGAATACCAGTTTTTCCAGAAATGCTTAAAGCCTCCATCACAGGGCAGAACATAAGCCCTGAGCATTGTCCTCAAGGCTGACCAATGATGCCAGGGCTTGGTGGGATGGGAGCTGGTGCTGGCACATCTGTATCAAGGACATCTTGGTACCCACCCCAGCGAGAGTAATTGCACTCTGCTCCTTGCAGATTTCCAAAACCATTAACATGCTGGTTCGCTGGTATGTGGAGGGATCAAGCTCCCTGGCTTTCCAGGAGCACGTCTCCAGAATCCCAGATTATCTCTGGTAAGGCTGGTCCTGTTAACTTTGTCCAGGGGAATGGGCTTATGTCTCCAGCACAAGCAGTGCCCAGGTCCAGAGTGGGGAAGATCTTAAGCTGTCCTTACGCCAAGGAGTGGAGGGCGTTGTGGTCCAGGGGTGACTTGCAGCATAGGCCTCAGGAGTCTTAGTATGGGGTCGGTGGAGGCAGAGAAGGGCCTCTTATCTGGTTAGCCCTCCAGCCAGCTCTGTAGCCCAGGGGTTGGTAGACTTTTGGGAATGTGGACTGAAAGAACACAGCTCAGCTGGAGGCAAGCTGCTGCTTGCAACCTGTTTGCCGCCACTGCTGCTTCCCTGGGCACTAGTCCTCCCTGCTATCAAACTGCTGCTGATGCCCTGGCTCTGTGGGTTGAATGGAATCACTCAAGGGCCTGAATCCAGCTCCTGGGCTGTTGGTTGCTGATCCTTGCTGTAGCCAGCAGTCCCTCATGAGCAAATCCCTATTGCTTCAGTTCTGCCAGTCAGTTGGGGGCCTTGTATTCTGAGAAGGATGACACAGGTACACAGGGTTTCCAGGGTCTTTCCCCAGACGCTATCTGTGAAGCCCAGCTCCCTGCACTCTGCTGGTTCACCTGAGTGTCTGATGTCTTCATGGTGGTGTTATGTGGCTGATATTGCTGCATTCTGCAGGCCACCTCAGTGCTGTGCTCTCTTTTCCCACAGGCTGGGACTTGATGGCATGAAGATGCAGGTAAGGCGTCCAAATCCAGGCAGTGAAAATGGGAAGTTGCTGTTACTGGGAAGGGGCTTAGCCATCCCAGTAACAGCATACAGAGATGGAAAAGGGTCAGACCCCAGTCTTGCTATGGTTAGAGCTGCTGATGTTTAAGCCCTGCTTCCTATTGCTGAACACTGCTTAGATGGATGGGCTTCTGAGGCTGAAAGGGGCTCTCCAGTTTGAATTGCCGTGGTCCTTTGCCCCAGTTGCCTGCAGAGCCTCACCAGTCCCTAGGCTTTGTGGGGTAAAGAGGGGTGCAGGAGGAAATGATACCACCTTTAATCCAAGGACAGGAATCCTTGTAGGCTGTAGCCACAGCTCCCTTCACTGGGTTTAGGATGCAACACCAGGCCAACATCATCCTCATGCTGAACCTTTTGGGGATATTTGGTGCAGCCTTTATGGACCTTGCATCCCTCTGCTTCACTCCCCAGGCCTGACTCTTTTTTCTCTTAGTTATATTTTACCTATCTGATGCTCTTGCCTGTGCACTGTGCGACTGTTGTGCATGTCCAAGACCATCTATTGTGTGTTTACCATGGTGAGAAATCAATCCTGTTGCTTACAGGGTGTGACTCTTTCATGGCACTGGAGAACAGTTGGTGGCCTAATTAACTCATCAATTAAATAATTAGCTGCTCATTCACAGGTGCCAGGAAGTTGGCTGGAGGGAGATAACAGGCTACTTGAAGTTTAAACCCATTCCCAACCAGCACTGCATACTCCTTCCCTCCCAGGACACCCAGGGCTGCAGTGGGCTGGGAAAACCCCTCGCTACTGCCATCCAGGCTATGTTGTCTGGTGGGGCTTGCTGCTGCCTTTTCCACCCCCTGTCAGAGGTCCCAGGGTGCAGCTCCCAGCAGTAGCTGTGTCCAAACAAGTCTGTCTGCAGCCCCTGGCTCCCCATACTGCTCTGGGCAGGCAGCTGCAACCCTGCCCGCATGGGGCTCCACACCCCCCTGGTGTGTTATTGGTTAACTGTTTAACCAATATAATTAGAGGAGGTTGAATGGGTACTTTTAAAAACAATGTTTACGTCCCTAATCATGAGAGGTAAAGACTAAGACTTCATTAGCAAAGGAGGAGGCTGAGGAGGATTATGGTATGAGTTGATAATATCACAAAGGATGTGGATCAAGTGAACAGGGAACTGAGCTGGCTTGGAACCAGTTCAAACCGATTGGAATCCAGTTCACACTGGTTTGAACTGGTTGAAAGCGGTTGGAAATTATTGGGACAGGTTCAAACCAGTCGGAAGTGACTTGTTCTGACTGATTTGAATCAGTTCCAACTTCTTTTAACTGATTCCCATGGGTTTGACCAGTTTGACCTGGTTCCATCAGGTAGCATCAACACTTAATATTCTGGAATCAGCATTGCAAACAAAATTGAAACACTTCTATATGACTAGTATAAATTGTATAGATAAGTTTCATCACAGCATGTTCTCTGTGTTTCAGGGCACCAATGGATCCCAGCTCTGGGATACAGCCTTTGCTATCCAAGCCTTCCTGGAGGTACGGTTTCCTTTTGTGCTGCATTCTCCGGTTCCTGAGGAGGTAGTATTCTGCATTACCCTTCATGCTGTAGCTGTTTGGTCCCAGCTACTACAGTGTGTGTTTAATAAACAGGGGAATGGGAAGAGGTTTGTGAACCTGTACACCTGAAGTCCAGAACTCATTTGGTCATCTTGTCTGACATCCTGTGAGTGATCAAGGAGTGTTGCCTCCTGCCACTGCATCATCAGACAAAGCCATGTTCGCGAACATTCGTGTTGTGCCAGTAGCAAGCAGCTAAGTCTTCTCCTGCCCCATTGAGGGCATAGGCATTCCTTAAAGCATAGGCCTTATTTAGGGTAACACCAGCTGTGCAGAGAAGTCTCTGCAGCCCCTGCCTGCTGCAGTTCTGTGCTTGGCTCCTATGGGAGAGACAGCGATGGGTGCAGATCCCATGGGATATTTAGTCATTTGATTTCTCCCCAGAACCAGACTCTCTGGTTGGCAGGTAGCAGTGCCTGTCTGACTTTGTCTACATCCTTCTTAGGCTGGAGCCCAAGACAACCCAGAGTTCAGTTCTTGTCTAAGACAAGCCCATGAGTTCCTCCGAATCAGCCAGGTGAGTGCTAGGCTCATGTCATGGATGTGGGTAGGCTGTATTGATTTTTCTGAGACTACTGTGTCCATTGCCTCTTTCTAAATTTATTGGCCTGTTCCCAGCAATTCTCATTCACTCTACGCATTAGGAGCTTTGCCTGTTATTAATTCCAGTGAGATTCACAATGGCTAAAAGGCTGCCCCTGCCCAGGCTCTGATGACTTGACCATGGTGCTGTATGTAAAAGAACTCCACAGGCGCTGTTTGTAGTGATGGGGCAGGAAGGAAGTTGCAGGTCCTGATCTGCAGTGACCTGCTCTCCTCTCCTAACCCAGCGGTGGGCAAAATATGGCCCTTGAGGCTGTTCTATCCGGCCCGCGGGGCCCCTAAAAAAAAAAATGTAAAAAATTAATATTTCTCTGCACTTGGTTCCTGTCAAAAATGACAGGAACCAAGGGCAGTAAGACCCAGGGGGAGGCTGGTGGGCTCCCACAACAACAGGTCCTACCCAGCCCTGGCCCCCAGCCAGAAGCCCCAGCCAGGATTTCTAGGTTGGGAGCACATGGCCGCCTTGGTGTGGGAAGCTCAGGTAAGTGGTAGGGGAAGGGGGACCCCAGGCAGGGAAGGAGCGCGGGGGGGGGCTGGGAAGCAGCTCCTCCTGCCCCACGCCCGGTGCCCCATGTTGCAGCTGCTGGCAGCCCACTTGGGGCTGCCTGTGCCCGCTCTGGACATCCCCATGCAGGCTGCGAGTGCCTGTAGTGCAAGGCACTGGGCGGGGAAGGGGCCGCTTCCCCCCCACACTCAGCTTTTCCCTGGGCTCCTTCCCTGTGCGGAGAAAAGTGGCTGCTCCCTGCCCCATGGCTGGCGCCCTGTGCTGCAGGCACTCGCAGCCCATGCGGGGCTGTCTGGAGCAGGCACAGGCAGCCCCAGGCAGGCTGCGAGCAGCTGCAGCGCAGGGCACCAGCCACGAGGCGGGGAGGGGCTGCTTTCCCCACCTCGCTATGCTCAGCACCACCTTGTAACCTGGCCCCATGGCCAGGCTGGCAATGGGGCGGGTTACAAGCTGGTGCTGAGCACAGAGAAAAGTGGCCCCTCGCCTGCCCCATGGCCACGCCTCGCACTGTAGCTGCTTGCAGCTCGCATGAGGCTGCCTGTGCCTGCTCCAGGTATCCCCGCGTGGGCTGCAGTGTGGGGCACTGGCCATGGGGCAGGCAAGGGACGACTTTTCCCTATGCTCAGCACCAGCTGCTTCCCTGCTGGCGAGCAGGGGGTTGGGGCTGAGTGCTGCCCCCTGCCTGTACCGCGGAGCTGTGGGGCACTGGGAGTGAGCGGGTAGGGAGCCAGCGGGAGCACGGGGCCAGCGCTGGCGGAGCCCAGAGCAGAGTGGCAGGAGTGTGGGGTCCCAGCTGGCAGGGGCTGTGTGGAGCCCTGCCAGCTCCACAGACCCTTACCAGCCTGTGCCTTGCTTTGGGCCCCACCAATGCTTGCCCTGGGACATTGGTCCCAAGACATTGGGATGTTGGTCCCAAGATGGTGACCAGGGGGCAGGGCACCTGTCACAGGGCAGGGCCACCCATGTGGTCCTCAACAGCCTGCCAAAACTGGGTAAGTGGCCCTCCTCCCAAAATAATTGTCCACCCCTGTTCTAACCTGTGGCCTTGTATCTCTTGCAGATCCCGGACAATCCACCTGACTACGAGAAGTACTATCGCCAGATGAACAAGGTATGACTGGTCATGTGCCCTATGCAGAATTTGCTGCCGGAGTTGGCTAAGGGAATGGGAATTTCCCTGAGTCCAGATTTCAAATTCTAGGCCCATTTTACTGACACCACCAACCTGTCTGAGGTCCCTGGCCTCCAAAGAAGTGATCTGGCATTGCTTGCAGCACAATTGCAGGAGGGATCATAGGCGGCGGAGGGTGGGTGCTGACAGGGCTTAGCTCCCCCAAATGCGGGGCAGTGGGAAGGGCCGCAAGGTGGCCCGGCCACAGGCTTCCAGT